AAAATTAAAATTGGGTTAACCTTAACCCGACACAAGCTGCCGCTTACAAGTTACAAATACTCATCCCGTCTTCAATCAAAATACATTCAAAAAAAAAAAAAAAAAAGGAAAAAGGAAAAAAGAAGCTCGTCTTCTTTTTCAAGTATGGGGGACATTTTTCCATGAGCCCATTGTTCTGCAGTTCAAAACTGTATCCAACTGCTAGAGCGGGGACATGGATGCCAAACGCCCAATATCCATTCAACCCAAATTCCAAATGAGTCAACAACATATCTTTATGAAATTAACTGCGTCTGTGCCCTTCTAACGACTAAATTAACAACCTTTTTCTATGTAATAATGTATGTAGGTGATACAATTGAATTCAAGATGGACTACAACAACATTAGAGATATGCGCCACAGCCCAAAAGATCAGATATTCCTGTACCAGTTCATAGAGCAGGATGCATTCGTTTAAACCCAAAGCATCTGATTTATATAATAAAATGAATAAGATAAAATGCAGCAAAACACATGAACCCTAAAGACTAAGAGACCAATTTAGTAACTAATGACCTGTTAGTTTGAGGAGAAGGAGTTTGGTTTCTCTTAAATGAGATTTTGAGTCTAAATCTTATAAATGTAGAAATAGGGGTTGAGAGAATTTTTCCCTTATAGAATTCAACATAATTCGATTTCAGATTAATCGAAATTTAATATGATTTTCAAATACTAAAAAATTAGTAAAAGAAATAGAACAACTTTAGTAGAGTGGTCACAATAACCTCTTTTAATAGTAAATTTGTTGTTACTAAATATATTATTTTATTACATCATATATTATTGCAAAAGGTTACATATTGTAACAATATTTGTTTATTTTTATAACTAATATTTTCTAGCATTAAGTCATTACTAAAAAAGGTACCGAACAACTATAGTGGTTATTAAAACAAAAGTTTGCAACCACAACGTAATTGTCAAAAATATATTTTCCCAATGTGATTAGTAGCTTAGGATATTAATATTTTGTAATAAATGTTTATAACATTTTGTGAAGACCATGCAATTTAGTTTTTATTGTTAATTAAAATTAATTTCAAATGAGAAGTTTTTTTTTTTCGATGATTTCAAATGAAAAATATTTACAATCAATTAGAGAATAGTGAATTGAAGACATTTATTGAACTTATATTAAGCAATATGATATTATAAAAAATATTTCAAAGAGATTATAGAAAATACAAACTTGAGCAACAAAAAAAAATTAAAAATTAAAAAGTTTCTCTAACTAACGAATACAAATTTGAAGAGTTTATCTAACTACCTAACACAAAAAATTTCACTAAGAATTCTAATCTAAGCATAACATTTTCTACACCAAAGACCAAATCAATTGTAACACTTTAATGAATCCACGACACTTACCGTGCTGATTGAGAGAAGGAAGAGGAGACTCAGCAGGTAAACAGACCAGTAACGGTACTTGCTAAAAAAAGGTAGAGCAACATTTATGCCTCAAACATGTTTTAGAAGATAAACGTAGAAGATGTCATCAAAAGGATATTCGTGAAATTGAACATTATTCGGATGTCTAGATGGCTAGTGCCAGCATTATTGTGTTGCCTCCAAGTTCTTGGACACAATCAAAGTAATTTAATTAGAAAACGTATAAAATCATAGAGAATCTAAAATAATAAAACCAATATCTCACCTGCACGTAATCAAGTCGAAATTCAAATTAAGCACCTTGTGATAGCTGTAACTCCTCTAGAGGAAAAAAAATTAATAGAAGAAAGTAAGAAACTCGTCCGGGCAAAATAGGGTGTGGCAATAACCCCACCTATAATCTTATATATAGATAAAATTTTTAGTAATGGACCTTGATTGGTGCACACCCGGATTCAACACCCGGGTGTG